TGAGGCGGGGTCGCACATCCTCTTTGCCCTGATCTTGGCACAGGGAGGTCTTGTGCTTGGTGCTGTTGCACCAATAGCAGCTGCCGTAGCGGCCGCGGACCTTGTACTCCGCCTCGGTCAAGCCAAACTTGACCCATGGAAACTGTCCTGGCTGTCCATTTCCGGCCTGCGATGCGGATTTCGCCTTCCCATTGTGGCGGGACTTGTTTGTGCTTCGTGGTTGGACAGCGGCCACCTGATCTCCGTCACTTGATGCTGGAGTGGCTGCTGGGTTATCTCCACTATCCTGCTGGACTGCAGCGTAGTGCTGCTGTCGCGGACCAGTTCGTACCTTCTCCACATAGGTCGGCTTCCATGATGTTGATTTCTCGTGTGCAGCTGACCTGTTGGTCTTGATGATCTCCCTCGCTTTGTCAATGATCTCCACGAAGGTTGAGTACTGCTCGCGATCACCAAGAGTCTGGCTCAATGCCGCACAGGACCTGTTGTAGAACTCACGGCGTAGATGCTCGAATGGTAGGTTCAGATTGGGCACAGCAGCAATCTTCTGCCACTCCGTGATCCAGTCCCGTGTTGCTGTGTTGCCCTGTGACATGGTGAACAAACGGTTGATGGCGAGTGCCGGCGCGTCGTCGACGATGAACCGCTTCTTCCATAGCCGTGTCAGTTCCTCCCATGTGATTACGTCCTTCAAGTCTGGTACGTCTACGCCGTGGGAGGTTGCCAGGTGGCTCAACCAGGTCTGGCATCCGCCCTTTGAGTTCAGGAACAGGGCGCCGATGTACGCATTCTTAGCTACTGGCAGAATCCTGAGTTGCGTTGTGAATGCTTCCCACCAGAGGACGGGATCCTGCTGCGTGTAGTCGTCGAACCTCTCCAGGTTGAAAGTTGGCATCTTGTACATCTTCGGATTGTCGTCCGCGTTCGTCGACTGCATCTTCTGGACCTCGGTCTTCAATGTATGCAGCTGACTGCTGATGGTGGTGGTCGGCGCAGCGAAGGTGCTGATGTCGCCGAGCATTGCCACTACGTGGTCAACGCGGTCCTCCAGTTGGCGGCTTGAGGGTGCACTGCTGGAAGCTCCAACAGCTGGTCCTGGTACAGCCTGTTCCAGGTCCAACAATCGGGCATTGAGTGCCCGAGGTGCATCCTCGTGGCTCTGCACTGTGCGGCGGAGCATCGCCAACTCCTGATGCTGTTGCGTCAGGTCCCGGTGCTGTCTCTCCAACTCTGACCTTTGGTAGTTGCAAGCATACAACAACCGCGTCACGAGTTTGGAGAGGAACTCCTTGTGCTTCTCTTCCGGTGTTGCCTCGTCGCCGTTCGGTTTAAAATGCCAGTACTTGAGTCTGTCGATGCTGTTGGCTTCATGCCGCTGCAGCAGATCCTGGGCTTCCTTGCGGCGAGCCTGGGCATTTGCGTCTGCATCGGCCTGTAGCCGCAGCTTCTCTGCTGCTGCTGCCTCTTCAGCCTGTACGCGGGCAGCCTCGACTGCCAGCAGGCGTTGTTTCTCAGCCTCTATCTGATCCAGGCAACGCTGCTTGTAGGCGGCAATGGTCTCATTGGCCAGTTGGCCTGGCAGGCCCGTCATGTTGCTGACGTGGCACTGCTGCTTACGTGGCACTGCTGATGTGGCACTGTGTCTGACGTGGTACTGCTGACGTGGCACTGCTGACGTGGCACTGTGTCTGACGTGGCACTGCTTACGTGGCACTATGTCTGACATGGCAATGTGACCTGGCACTGCGGACGTGGCACTGCTGATCTGGCACTGTGACGTGGCACTGCTGACGTGGTACTGTGACTTGGCACTGTGACGTGGCACTGTACCGAAACAGGATGCATGCAAGGGGTGGGTGGGAGGGAAAACGGAGGGAGGTAACCAACCCAACAATACTTTC